GCATGTCATCCTCTTCCATGTCTACGACGGGTGATGTCGACGGCAACGGCAGCGCCGATATGTTTGTACCGCACTGGGGAGGCATAGGTAGGCGCTGTAGGTTTTTGTTCATTAATTGGGCGCTCGTAGCCGACGCTGGAAGTAACGATGGGGGTAATGGCAGTTGTGGTAAAGTAGTCGACTTCATGGCCACAAAGCCATTGTGCGACGCCATGAAAGACAGTTGTAGTGCCGTTCCGTCAGTGGTGTCGCTCATCATCATAGGCGTGGGCACGTATGGCTTCATGGGGTTGGGTGTGAGGGCTGTGGGCGTACTGGTCGACGACGCCTGTCCTTCGGAGGAGGGGCCGCCACCGCTCTGCTTCTTAACGCTCGGAAACTTCTTCTGTTTGATGAGTTCGGCCGCAAAACTGGTCGACGAATACTTGTTGTTGTCTATGAAGACGGCCGAAGAGTTACGACTACTGCGCGACTCATTTCGCGGCGAATGCGAGCGCATCGGCGGTGTGCGGGAACCGCGCGATCGCTTCGGAGGTGGGGTTCGACTACGGGGTCGATAGTGTCGCGGAGGAGGCGTGCGGTCCATATCGCGAGATCGATGGCGCGGAGGGGGCGGTGCGTTGGAGCGCGAGTAACGCGAATCACTGCCTCCACCGCCGCCGCTTCGGCCGTACGGCGATCGAGAGCGCGACCGCTCGCGGGTTAAGTATTTCTGTTTCACCGGCCGTTCGCGCGATTTGGGTCTGTGTTGGGATTGGGATGACATCGGAGGAGATCTGTCGCGCGATGACCGCCGATGGCGTGACCGCGACTGACGCGACGGCGACTTCATTGACGACATCCCGTAGTGAGAGGACGACGACATGGGAGGCGGCGAACGACTGCGAGATCTGCGCCCCCGTTGTTGCAGTGGAGTCAACGAACGCATGGGCGGCGGCGTCATCGATGAGCGCCTCCTGTGATGGCTCGACGAGTGCGGCGGCGATCGGCTTCTGGTGCGACGCATCGGTTCCATCGGTGGCGGAGTCTTAGAGCGTCTCCTGTGGTGATGACTCGACACGACCGGCGATTTGGTTCTCGAGTGACGCAACGTCTCCATCGCAGGCATTGGCGGAGTCTTTGAGGGCGTGGGAGGCGTCGCCGCGCGCTTCCGGTGATGGGTCGACGGGTTCGGCGATTTACTGGCGGACCGTCTGTAGTACGCCGTCGGAGACATTGGCGGAGACTTCGATGTAATCATCATTTGCTTCTTGTAATGTCCGGAAACAGGCGGCGACCGACTCCTGGAGCGACGCAATGGGGGCTCCATTTGGGGCGACTTAGAGGGCGAACGAATCCTCTGATGGCTC